AAAATATGAAATCAATATGTAATACAATTATCTTTACTAATTTATTGAAAATGTTATATAAAGTTTAAATTGTATAAAATTATATAAAAGTGTCTATTTAAAATTAGTACACGACCCGTGTGGTGCACATAACTGATAATAAATTATATTATATTCGTTTCAAAAATAAGTATTATTTAAAAAATTTTATTCAGAAATTAACTATAATGTGATTCCATAAAATAGTTATTTTGGTAAAATGTTATCATATATTTAACAACGTATGTGAATAATAAGTATAAATATAAAATTTATATTGTTTCATTACTTAAAATAATTTTTTTGTATAAACTATTCAAATAAAAAAATTAAGTAGATGAGTAATTTATTAAATTATAAATAATTGACTATTTCGTTTACGCTAAAGTTAGTACTGACCATAAGTTATTGAGTAATTTCTTAAACTATAAATAATTGACTATTTCGTTTACGCCCAAGTTAATATTGACCTGTAAATTATGAATAATTATTTTTTTATTTTAAATTTTAAATAAAAAACTTTTTATTTTTTTAATAATTATATACTAAATTTAAACCATGCAACTCATAAAGATAGTAGCTGCATGTTCCAAATTTAAATCATGCAACTAATAAAAGGTAATAGCCGCAATACTTGGTCAAAATGATTATGTACATTATTGATTTAGGTGGGATTTTTCATTTTTTTGCCAAAAATATTACTCAATATAGTACAAATATTTTAGGCGGGAAACTAAATATTTTTTTTTGCTGATTTTTAGTTGATATTTCAAATAAATATCATTGTCTCTTTATATATTAATAGATTTTTATTTTGTCAAATCTCTATCAATAAGAGTTTCAATATTTTCAAATTATGTTTCCTTTAGGATTGTGGATTTACTATTTTTATTCGTAATTATCATTTAAAAGATTACAAACTGACATTGTGAACATTGGATTTGGGATTGTATTGACATTACGTTTCTTTTTCCGATTTTTATTTAGCAAGAATCTTGGAAAGTATCTTTGTCATAATCTTGGGATTATTTTTCGTAATGTTTTAATTTCAAAGTATTACAAACCAACATTGTGGATTTGTGATTGTATTGCCATTATGCTTATTGCTCATATGTTCGGGATTATGTGGCGATTAAACGTACTGATAATTAAGTTTAAAATTAGTTTTAATTCGGATTATAAAACAAACATGAACAAAAAATAAAATATTTGCACAGATTTAAAAAAGTATTCGCACATATTTTCACACGTTAAATTGTCCCGTTTTGGGTAAATTATTGTTTAAAGCAATAAAGTGAAATTGTACGATTTAAATTGGTGAAATATTGTTTAGATTAAATATATTTTCGTAATTTTTTATTTGCATAAAATAAATTGAGGAATTAATATAATTGTTTACATTGTAAAAAATTTTTTGGCATAAAATAAATTGGAAAGAATTAATCTATTTTTTTAAATGAGCTAAAATCGTATTTTTTTTTATTATCAGACTAATCATTTTTTAATTACCATGACAATCAAATTTTAACTCAAGTTTGGTTTAATATTTAATACCATTATTTGATTAATTTTTTGTTGTCATCTTCGTGTATACTTACGATATCAATTACTAAAATACTATTCATGTTAATTGGTAAAAGAAAAAAGAAAAAAACAAAAAAAAAGAATAAAATTTGTAGGGATAAGTCAAAATTAACCGAAACAAAACAAATATTCTGTTCAGGGTAGCTAAAAAAATTGAAGTGCATATTGGATAGACACTACACAAACCAAGGGGAGATATTATTTCCAAATTAGCTAAATCACTCCCGCTTTTCTTTCCTAAGAAACCGAAAATGAAACAATTCAAACTTTTTGAAAAATTTTGAAGCCCAAAAAAATATTACTCTATTTAGTAGATTTTATTGTTTAGGCGGGAATTGAAATCTTTTTTTTTTTTGCTGATTTTTCACTTGATTTTTTCAAACAACTATCATTCCCTCTTTATATATTAATAGATTACAAACGTGTTTTATTTTTTATTAAATATTTTAGTTTATATTATTTATTTAATTTTTATAATTTATACTTTATAAATTAAAATAATTATAAGTGTTCGTATGCTTCTCGCTTGAATTTTATAAACTTTTTGATCTTAAATTTTATACACACAAATTAAATCTAATAGTAGTGAAATTAGATATAAAATATTTTAAAATCATTCTTCATTCTTCATAATAAATAAATAAATAATATCATGTTTGTAGAATATTTCTTATTTCATTTTCTACAACATACAAATTAAATCTAATAATAGTGAAGTTAGATATAGAATATTTTAAAAACATTCACAATTAATCACACAAACATTCTTCATAATAAATAAATAAATAACATCATGTTTGTAGAATATTTATTGTTTCATTTTCTACCACAAGTTGAAAAATCCAAACCATATTATCATTATTAAATTAATCTATTAAGCAAATAGTATTAATTATATATATATATATATATATTCAATATATGTAATAAATATTACATTACATATTATAAAAAGTACCTTTTAGTATTTATTACTAATATCGCGATAACATAAAATATTACTAATAGTCGATATATGGACCAAGAAACTTAAGAAAATACCTAAAACGGAAGAAAAAAAAAAA